TAGTTCTGTACTCAGACCTAAATTTCAATAGTCACATTAAGACAATTACTAAATCAGCCTACTACCACCTTAAAAACATAGCAAGAATAAAAGAATTTCTGTCTAAACAAGATACAGAAAAACTTGTTCATGCTTTCATTTTCAGCAGGCTGGACTATTGTAACGGTGTCTTCACAGGCCTGAGTAAAAAATCAATCAGACAACTGCAGCTCGTCCAGAACGCTGCTGCCAGAGTCCTCACCAACACCAAGAGAGTGGAGCACATTACACCAGTGCTTAAGTCACTGCACTGGCTTCCTGTGTGTCAAAGGATAGACTTTAAAATCTTGTTACTTGTCTATAAAGCACTAAATGGTCTCGGGCCTAAATACATCTCTGATATACTTGTACGTTATGAAGCATCCAGACCCCTCAGATCATCTGGAACAGGTTTACTCAGTGTTCCCAGGATCAAAACCAAACAAGGTGAAGCAGCCTTTAGTTTCTATGCTCCCCGCCTGTGGAACAAACTTCCAGAATATCTGAGGTCGGCTGAAACTGTCAACTCATTTAAATCAGGGCTTAAAACATTACTATTTACTGCAGCTTACCAGTGAACTAGATATGTAACTTATTGTTAGGATAATCTGTAGCTATTGTTTTTATATTTGTCTGCTGTTGCTTTTGCTTTATGTTTGCTTTTTAAATGCATTTTCTGCACTGTTTTTCTTGCTTTTAGCTTTTGTTTTTAATGATCTATTGTTCCTTTAATGTTTTATCTTAACGTATTTCTCTTGTAAAGCACATTGAATTGCCTTGTGTATGAATGGTGCTATATAAATAAAATTGCCTTGCCTTGCCTTTGGCCTGGTACAGAAAGGAAATCTGCAACGGGTGTCAAATCAATCATCCGAGTCAGTGTCAGCACGAATGTCTGGAAAAGACGCTGGACTATTTTTACGAGGTACACCACTCCCAGCTAATGGAAAGACTTTGGACGGGTCGTTTTATCCTTACCATCCAACGAGCTCTTAACGCTCGCCGTCTCTGCGTGTCTGAGTACCGGATCCAGGGAGCTTGTGATTTCCTGCTGCATGACTTCAAAACAATGAGACGCATCGACCACTCGATCGCCAAGATTTACAACACAATGACCGAAGGGGACGAGGATAAGATTGAAATAGTGGACCAAGCTCTTGCGTTTTGGCTTATAGAGTGAAAATGGGTCACTACTGGACTAAACTTGTAATGTGTGTAGAGGAACACGTTGTCATTTGTCATTTAATCCGTGTTTTGGATCAGGTTATTAAAAACAAAATGACTGAATCATGTGGGTTTGAACAGAGACGTTAAAGTAACTCGATTGGAATGCATGTTGGATATAGTTAGGTCCCAATCTGTACATACACCCTGGGATGTGTTGGTACGGTCCACACTTGTAATGTTTGAATCATGTATAGCTCATATATCTTGTGATTTGTTTTTGAAGCATGTATACCTCATATATCTTGCGATTGTTTTTGAAGCATGTATAGCTCATATAACTTGTAATGTTTGAATCATGTATACCTCATATAACTTGTAATGTTTGAAGCATGTATACCTCATATAACTTGTAATGTTTGAAGCATGTATACCTCATATCTTGTAATGTTTGAATCATGTACCGTAAAATTCCGTGTATAAGTCGCACTTTTTTCCCCTTTTTTTTCATCTAAAAAGTTGGGTGCGGGTTATAGACCGGTGCGACTTATAGACCAAGGTAAATGCTGACATAGGTAATTTGACCCACAAGATGGCGCTATGTAGCTAAAGATTTGTGATGGACATCATAGCCAGCCAGTGAACAAGCCGCCATATTGTCACAGAGACATGCATGAAAAAAAAAAGAAAAAAGAAGTTTAACGTTAATTTAAACTCATTTTTATGGCTCAGATGTTATAATTTTATTTCCTGAAGAGGTTGTTTGGAAAATTGCAATCTGAAAAGTAACCAAAGCTGGGGCCTGTATCACGAAGCGAGATCAACCTTTCCTGGGTTACCCAGACCTATCCTGGATTGACTAACCCTAACAATGGCAATCAGGATAATCGGTATCACGACGCTGGATATCAACTCGGTAACTCAACCCAGGGTTGCTTTATCAAGAGCCGTGAACGCGCACACAGCGGACCAATCACAATCATGAGAGAAGCGCAGCGTCACTGAGTGTCCTCACAGAGCGCCGTATGCGAGGGAAAAAAAGTATTTCTAGTGAGGTTCAGAGATTAATTCTACTAAAATATGAGGAGGAGAAAAGCAACATTACAGAAAAGGCCAACACCGTGGCAGCTGCAGGAGGAGGAAACATGCGTGGCAATGCATAACGGGATGAATAATGTTTAGTTTAGATTAGTTTATTTGCACATAATGTTAAAAACAGACAGTATAAAAAAGAAAAGTGCCACTAACAGCTTATCAAAGAAATTCCCCTGTCAAAACATCAATGAAATCACATAATAGAGAAGAAAAAAAAACAGGTCAGGAAAGAAGAAATAGAGGAGGAGAGAGGGAAAAATCAAGACAAAACAAGGTGGCAAATAAAATTATGTGTAGGTTAAATTACTCATCACTGGTTCAAGTAGCTACAGTACCTGTACCTGTACATCTGACACTGATCACACCCTTGAATCCCATGAAATCAATGCTGCGCAGATGAATTGCGTGTATTACAATTATCGTCTAACATCATTGCGTCTGATAAATTGGTCTTCTTTGTCATAACGTTATATATGCTACAATAAAGCTTAAAGCTGACGTCACAATTAAATCATATCAACACCAAATTGATAGTCTGAATAAAATCATCCTGATATTGAGCTGTGTTAGAAATTAACAGCTGCGCAAAAATATACCTAGTCTCCCTCTTTAAAAACAAAAAGGAAAATCCCTCAAACACCATGAGGTGTAGACATGATAGGCTACTTTCCACATTTCCAGCAGCAAAGCTGTCAATTAGGCCCATTATCTTTAACAGGGATCATTTCCTCCAAGAAAAAAAAATGTTGGCACTAATTAATGGTGCTATTAAGTGTCCGCAAATTATCAGTTTCTTACTTATGAAGGGGTGGAATGAAATTTTGACTTCTTTCCACTCCTTTTTGAACAATCTTTTCATTGTCTGTTGTTGTTGCTTTCTTTTCTTTTTTAATGTTCAAAATAAACTTTCAAATCAAAATCAATCAAATGAATTAAACTTCCCGTCATGACTGGGATGCACTTCTGTCAGCGGAGTCATTTTTTGCCAAACAGCTGATTGGCCAGTGGGTGGTGCTTTTTATAGGATCAGATTCAACCCTGAACTTACCCTGCTCCGGAGCAGGATAGCCGTTCAGATTAAGTTACCATGGTGATCTACCCCGATAAGAACTGAACCGGCTTCGTGAGACCGAAAACCCAGGATTAACCCTGAAGTTACCTCGCTAAGACATTAATCCTGCTTCGTGATACAGGCCCCTGCTTAAGAGGTTATTGTGTTTTGAATGTGTTTCAAAAAAAAAATAAAGGGAAACAGTGTAGGAATAACTTGTATAACGTTTTTATTAACAAATATAATATAAAACCTTGTTTTCCCTGTTTGAGACCTTAAAAATAGACTGCGACTTATATGCCAGTGCGACTTATATTCCGAATTTTACGGTATACCTCATATAACTTGTAATGATTGAAGCATGTATAGCTCATATAACTTGCGAGTGTTTTTGTTTGTTCTGAAATAAATGTTTTGGTAAGCGAGCGGTTGTGTTCATTATTGATTCAACATGTCAGAGAAACGTGTCATGAAAAAGGTTTATTACGACCCGTCTCACCCGGGTAGTTTAGGAGGAGTCGAACGACTCCGCAGGGCCCTACAAGATGAGATGGGGAAAAGAGTAAACCCTGACCGAGTCAGAGAATTTTTAGCCGAGCAAGACGCATACACTCTGCATAAACCTGCCAGAATACATTTTCCCAGAAATAGGGTTTTTGTACCACGACCTCTGAACCAATTTCAAGCGGACCTCTGTGACATGCAAGCCTTGACCAAACACAACAACAGTTTTAAATATCTGTTGATGGTCATCGATGTGTTTTCAAAGAAAGCGTACGTGTGAGCGCTAAAGAACAAAACGGCGTCCGAAGTCACTAGGGCGTTTGACTCTGTTTTAGACGACAGTCAGACCCCTGAAAAGTTACAAACAGACGCGGGTAAAGAATTCTTTAACAGGACTTTTAAGGCGCTGATGGATAAACGCGGTATTAAACATTTCGCCACGGCCAGTGATCTGAAGGCCTCGGTGATTGAGAGATTTAACCGTACGTTGAAAACTAGAATGTGGGGATATTTTACAGCCAAAAACACCCGCAGGTACGTAGACGTCCTGCAGGACTTGGTTAAAAGCTATAATAACGGTTATCACACAAGTATAAAAATGACGCCTATGCAAGTGACATCCGAGAACACCCTGCAAGTTTTTCAAAACCTGTACGGCTCGATATCCCCCTGAGCTTCCAAGAAAAGTTAAAGATAAATTTTAAACAGGGAGATCTCGTGAGAATATCTAAAGTGAGAGGCGTGTTTGATATGAAATATGAGCAGAGTTATACCGACGAGGTGTTTACGGTGGCCAAGTGCGTACCCCAAGTACCCCCCGTGTACGAACTGAAAGATTATGACGGAGAACCTATCCAGGGTCAGGATCAGGTGGTACATGGTGTAGTCTGGAGGGAAAAGGTTTGCGTTGTTAGTGCTGCACGTCTAGTTGGTGTCTGTTGAATTCACGGAGTTATTTTTCGTGTCGTCCTCTGATGAGCTCGCTCGTCCTCGCGTCGTCTGTCCTTGCGTTGTCCGTCCTCGCGTTGTCCATACTCGCATCGACAGCTGAGTTCCTCCATTGGCTCAGGGACCTTCCTGCAGTGGCTGGCGTGAACCCACGTTGCTCTCTCAGCGATCTTCACAGCAGTATGCATTGTCAGGAACACCTGGAATGGACCTCGCCAGTGTTTGGAGTGCCAGCGTTTCCTTCTTAGGTCCTTTATCACTACCCAGTCGCCAGGTTGGAAATCATGGAGTGATGTGGAAGCTGGTGGTGGAAGGGCTGATTTCACCTGCTGAGAGATTTGAGAGAGAGGGGAAGATAAGTTTTTGCAATATTGTAACATGTCATCCTCACATAGGCCAGTGGAAGGGAGCGGTCTGGTTACAGGTTCCACTCCTAGGGATGGATGTCTGCCAAAAAGAATTTCAAAAGGGACTCATGTTCACTCTGGACCTTTTTCTCATTCTCATATGCATTAGAACAATAGGCAGAGCTTTTGTCCATGGCAGTCCCGTTTCCTCACAACACTTAGCCAATTTTGATTTCAGAGTGCCATTTTCTCATTCGACAGCACCTCCACTGGCAGGGTGGTATGCACAATGTTGTTTGAGGTCAATGGCAAGAAATTCACTGATTTGGGTTATTGCAGAATTGACAAAGTGTGAGCCATTATCGCTGCTCAGTTTAGTTGGTATTCAAATGTTCGAATGGTCTGTCTGGTGGTGGGTGAGCGCCGTGTGTGATTGTTTTGGTTTTACCTGCATTATGTGTTGCACAAACCATACTTGATTGACAATACTTCTGCGCATGAACTGAAAACCCTTTGGTGAATCAGTGTTGAGTTATGGCATCCAACATCCCCCCTTTTGACACATGGTCCAATCCATGTGTCAATTTTGCAAAGTGAGGAAAGAAATGTTTGGGCAGGCAAGGTTTGTCATCGGGTCCCGCCACACTGCTTCTTTCTGTGTGGCACCACATTGTCTCCACAGCATCTTTTCTTGTGGTGTGGCAAAGGACTGTATCGCTGTAAGGGAGCTGGGAATAGAGACTGGAGTTGAAACAAACAAGGGATCAAGGATAGTGGGTTGGAGTGCAGCTCTTATTGCAGCGGCATTACCTCTTGCTTTTCCTAGAGAGAGACAGAATCTGAGTTGTTAGTATGAGCAAGGCATTTACAAACAGCAGTTGAGTTTGGGAGCAAAATGGAACAAAGGTATGCGCACTGGAGAGTCATCACAGGGAACAATTACTCCTGCTGCTTTAAGAGACTCAAAGACTGGTGTTATGCCATTGATGGCTTCTTGTTTAAGTTGATATTGAGCCTTGCAAGGTCTGATTTTGGAGTGATGACAACAGGTTCACAGTCTTTGATGAGGCCAACATCATACTTACGGACAGCCCACAGTGTCTTAGGGACCTCCTGTAGGGCTGTAATAGCTGTAGGTTGTTCTTTGGACAAAAAAGAAAGATTTAGAAGTGCTTTTAGGTACCAGCTGGATTTTTCTTTGAGTGTGCACAACAGATGTTAAAGTTTTAGAGTAGCACTGCAGTGTTGGTGAAAATAAAATAGATCGATCACATCTTTCTTGCCAATCGGCTGCGCGCTGACATGATTTTATAAATGGGCCCAAATCTTCCCAGTTATCTGATGTGTGTTTTGCAAGTGTGATGTGTGGGACTGAATGGTCCATGGTGTACATGTCACATTGAGCTGGTGTGAGAGAGACTGATATAGCACATTTGTGTTGTGTCCAATAAATGTGTGTCAATGTGAGTTTGTCAAATCTCTCCCTCAACCAGCCTTCCTCATATGGCTCATCAGGTCCTGGTGACACATGAGAGGTGCAATGCAGGTTCTCTGGTGTCATTAAATCTGTTGAAGCTGTTAAAACTGTTTTCCTAGCTTCTGTAACAAGCTCAGAGGTTGTTGATGGTTGCAATTTCCACTGATATGCATATCTCAGGTTTGAGCTGTGGTAGACAAAGGAGTGTGAAAAATTTGGTTCCAGATCAGATAGTTTGTGAACTTTGACACCTTCTGGGGTTGAGATCAGACAAAGGCCTAATTTGCACATCAAGTCCCTGCTCATCAGGTTAATGGGGCAGACTTCAGAGAGCAAGAATGCATGTTTGGAGCTTGTATTTGACTCATCCCCACATTTGAGTCGGACAGTAATGTTTTTTCTAATTGTTTGACCTGATGAACCAACAGAGTACACATAATCTCCACTTAATTTTGTTTTTTTTAGTGAATTCTAAAGCTTTTATCACAGAATGTGTGGCTCCTGAGTCAACTAAGAATACAACATTTTCTTCTGCGATGGTCAACGTATGTTGTGGAAACTTCTTGAAATGATCAGATGTGCACTGAACATATGTTAGAGAAATTGCATATCTATTATATGAACTCTCAATAGCTTGTGTATTAATCTGCTCAGTATGTGTGTGTGTGTGTGTGTGTGTGTGTGTGTGTGTGTGTGGTGCAGTACCTTCTTCTGGCCCCACAAGTTGGTTTGGCTTGTCAGCAGGAGTCCATCTCTCTCCAACAACCCTCAACCATTTTCAGTCTGACTTGTCTACTGTGGAGTTTTGAGGTACTTCTGTGGCAATCACGTCTGCAGTGTCCACGCTGGCCACAGAGGAAACATCACTTGGAGGTTTTCTTCCCCAGTTCTTGTGTCGGCCGCGTTCTTTCCCTCTATGTTCATGACCTGGTTGTCCATGTTCTCGGACTGTGTTATACATGGTTATTGCTGCCATGTGCTCCTTCTGTGTTTTTTTTTTGTTTGTTTTTTTTTTAATCTTAGAGAGTATTTGGTCATGGGCATGTATGGTGTGTCTGCGAAGTTCGAACAGGCGTGCATCATTCCAACCGATGCAGGAACTTTTAACAGCTGAGGCAATGTCCGGTTTTAGTCCGTTTAAGAAACAATTGCAGAGATGAATTTTCCACACATCTGGAGAATTGCTTGACTCATCAGGTAGTTGAGGGCCACTGTAGGTGTTGAAAGAAGGACGAAATGGTAGGTTGCCGTCAAGATCTGGATCCAGCTTCAAAGCCGCCAACTGTGGAAACAAAGAAGAGGAGATCTGTGAGTCTGGTGTTCTTTGTGTGTGTGAATTTTGCTTTTCATTGGTTTCAACTTTTTCACATGAAAAGGGTAGTTGTTTCTGCATTGTTTTCCTATTTCGTGTTTCTGCTTCTCCTTTCCACATCTGTAAACATTCTTTTGGACCTTCCATAATTCCTAATTTTTTATTTTAATTTATTTTTTTAACAGAAACTTTCCCTTCAGTTTTTCTTCTAAAATTGATATGTTTTTAAACAATTTGGATTGGGAATCCAAACTCAGCTGTCCAGACATTTAAATATTTTAGACTTTTATCCCCATATCTCCTTCTCATAACATCCACAATAGGCCCCTCCGGAGGTCCAACCTCGACGGAAATCTCCCCATTCCAAATGTGGAGGTCGTGCACGACTATTACAATACAGACGTCTCTGTAAGGATCATTTCGTTTAGGCTACAAGCGATAAAAAGCTGGTCACTTTGTTTAGGCTACAAGCGATAAAAAGCCGGTCACTTCGTTTAAGGCTACAAGCGATAAAAAGCCGATCAATTGTGGATAATATGAGAAATGGAAATGTTATGCCAAATTAAAAACCCAAATTTAAAAAAAGAAATAATTTAAATGTCAATATATCAGTGCTCACCAGATGAATTTCGCTGAATTGCGTTTGTGGAATCCTAGCGGCAACTATCTGGGACGTCTGCGGTCAGTCCTCCCTGCTCAGAAGAGGATTTGAGGTTGCAGGCTGGAAATCTTTTTCCTTCCAGGATGGCCTGTCACTGCTCCGTCCCAGACAATCACTCGAGGGATCCCACTTCTGACACCAAATTGTTGTGGAAATTCTCTGCTGCTGGTGAATAATGAAATAGAGACTACTGCCGGCCGACAAGGTTTTTATTTTCTTTGCAAAGAAAAGGTCAATCAGCACACAAGCGGTCAGAATGAAGAAAGACCCCCTGGTGAAAGCTTAAACATTTATACCTTAGGACCGCCTCTTACGGTGTGTTTCACACCCTTCTGTCTGCGGCAGGGAGCGGCACCCCTACCCATTGTTTTAACACTCTTTCGTCTGCTGCAAGTATTGGCTCCGACCCCCTAGGGTGTGTTTCACACCTGGCGTATCCTGCAGGATTTTGTATCTAGGTGGGAGGTTAAGAGGTCTAGATATCTGTGTATTTGAAAACACAAAGAATACACAAAGAATAATGAAATTACAATTGGCACTCTTTATCTCCCTTAGTCTTATGGCATTGTTTTCTACAACCATGGTGCAAATAGCCTCCTCCTGTTCAGGTGTGAAAAGGGGCCCTCTGCCACCCCTGTGAAATTGTCTTGCAGTCCTATGTGGAAAAAAAATATAGTAATGCAAAACACAAAATTGAGTAAGATAAAATGTCACTGTATAAAGTATACTTACTGTATATTGTAAAATGCAAGTGGAATACTGTAATATTATATGAAGCATTACAGAATACAATATTACAGTTAGGGCTGTCAAAGAATATTTTAAATTCGAATTTGAAAAAAGATAGACCTTCGAATGTGAAAATTGATATTCAGTTGTGGAGAAAAAAAAAACACCACCGCAGCTGTCCTCTTTGCGAGTGTGCGCTGGCCTGGGCCGCTGCACTGAACGCACTGCATAAACGCCAGAGCCACACCGCCCGCGGAAGTGCTGCTGGTCGACAAGAGGTTCTGCTCCCAGCTGTTGTCTCCGTCACCCCCCGGCTTGACACATTCGCTCGCGGCTCGCGCAGAAAATAGACCAGACGCCGAAACGGAGATGCGCGGCGCTTCCGGTGTGGATGACACAATCGGTTAACATGGGCGGTGTGACCAGGGGTCAGAGAGGGGGGGCGAGCGAGAGGTCCGCGGTCGTTTATAACATAACGTTATAGATAATTGTTTTATGTGTTTTAATGTGTAGGTATGTAAATGTTTTCACAGACGTTTATGTTGAAATAAAAATACCTACAGGTAGTTATGTTTCCTTGTATTAATACATTTACAAGTATGTTTCCTTGTATTAGTTTGCCCTCTTGTGGACATAATGCGAAAAAAAAATTCAAATGGTTCGAACCTGAGTTATTTTTAGAAGTAATATTCAAACGTCATTTTTGAGCAATTTTGACAGCCTTAGTTACAGTACAGTGCCTATTGTTAGATTACATACCTGTTCTGTCGACGTATTCAGAACGCCATGGCTTCCCACACTTGAAAAAGGAAGGACTTGACCAGACACAGGATTTCACTCATTCTTCAGTTTTTTTAACCAGTAACAAGGAAGGTGAAAAACCTTTAAACACAAAAGAATAAAACCAATGTGAATAAAATTCAGCATTTTCCATCAAACAAGGTAAGTACATTTAAACACATTTTTCAGGTAAGTGCATTTAATTAGGTAAAAGTATATTTTAAACATTCATTAACTATTATTTCATTATATATTATAAATCAATCCAGGTAAGTAATGTGTAAAATTAGGCATTGTATAAACAGAAACCTAGTTCTACTTTTAGAACCATTTACTTTTAAATTAACCCATTTTACCTTATGTTTTAACCTAAATTTTATACAGATTTCATACAGACTTTAGATATGACATGTATTTTTATCACAATTTTAATCTAAACACTCACTTTTTAACTTAAGTGAAACCTAGTATTTTAAATTGATTTTACTGTAGATTTTAACACAATTTTTGAACAGAAATACTTTTATTTTTATACATAAATTAAATATTTTCCCTTCGAATGTTAAAGCAAAATTTGCTATATTTTAAATACTAGCCTATTTGTGCACTTTAATTTATCTATTTAAACAAGGTTTTGAGCAAACTAATTGGGACACTATTTGCTTTACAAATTAAACAAGTTTTATGATAAATAAGGTAGGTAACCCAAAGAACTGAAAAAGGCACAAATTAAATATCTAAATATTTTAGCCAATTACAATCACAACTGCTAACTTTAAACTCTACCCACATAAACAATGTTAAACTCAAATCAATAACAGACAGCACAATTCATTTGCCCAAATAAAATACTTCACTACAGCCAGAGTCACAGCCACAGTCCAGTTACCGGTAGCCCTTTTGGTTTGAGTCCTTTTCCCATGCGTTTGATCTGTGAAGTGCAATTTAGTGAATGTTTCTGCTGTCCTCAGCTCTGTTGCACACAGCCGAATGACTGGTGTGTCGTTTATTGTTCTGAGCTCATGGCGTGTGCTGCTAATTAGACTGATTGCTCTCACCTGTTGAGGCGCACCGTGGAGCAGCACGTGCGCCCGCCGCCACGCGCATGAAGCAGTACACGCGCCTGCCGTTACGGGCACGGAGCAGCACGGCCGCTGTCACACTTCCGGGCAGATCGCCGCAACGGACACAGTTGTTCTCCCAACATTTGGCAGCACCCTTCGACCAGCCTCGGCCATTGTAAGCCCTTGATTGAGAACGTGGTCTACAAGTGTGGCTCTTATCTCATCAGGAACACGCATATGTCCTCGGCCTCTTCTGCCTCTTCCTCTGTTTTGCCTCCCAACTCCTCCGCCACGCAGCCTCACTCCTCTTCCTCTTCTTCTCTCTGGCTGTTGACCCCGTCCAATTCCTTGTCCTTCCATTGTCAGACATTGTAACATTGTGTTGTGCTCCGGCTATATATATACTTGCCAGTTGATGGTTCATGAGATGCACCTTGGAGCTATTTCAGAAAACTGGTTGATCATTGGTTGATCTAATGCTTCACACATTTCCCTTCGTTAGAGAAAGTCAAGATTCACCTGGGAGCAATTTACCAATTCAGGACAGATTTAGAAAAAGTGTCATGGAAATGTATAGAAATATGCTTGACATATTATGATAACTTGTTCAACCATTTTGCATGTAAAGACTTATGCGATGAGCTAATGCCTAAATGTTGTGGGGGGTGAGACTATTCAACAGAGACCCATTATAATACATTTTGATCAACATGACATAAGCAATTGATAATGTAGGAAACAGCAGAGAATTGTACATAATCATTTGCATGGATGTACCAAAGCATTTGCAACTTGTTCAAAGAAATGAGAAACTGCTTTTTTGATGTGCACAAGTGACACAATGATGTGAAGATTGAACAAGTAGTTTTGAGAATTTCAATTCTGATCTGAGAAATGTACCAAAGCGACTAAGAAAAACTGTAATAATCCTGTTTATTTGAACTATATGTTTGCAAATACTCTTGTTAAATTTCTTATATTTTCACTTATCTTTCCACTCTTGCAAGGAGCACCTGTAACGCAAATAATTTCCCCTCGGGGATCAATAAAGTATTTCTGATTTCTGATTGATTTGATGACAGGAAGTAGGAGATGACAACAGGACGTAGCAGAATGATGACAGGACATATATGATGATGACAGGATGTAGGAGATGACAATAGGATGTAGTGGGAATTACTACAGGACATCTACGATGATGACAGGACTTAGATGACAACAGGACATAGCAGAATGACGTCAGGATGTACATGATGATTACAGAACATAGGGAATGAGGGCAGGACGTAGGGGATGATGACACGATGTAGGTAATGATGAAAGGACGCAGGTGGTGAGGACAGGAAGTAGGTGATGATGATAGGATGTAGGTTTGTTGTAGAGTTTTTCAGGGTGCTTGCATCCCTGCAAGGTGAAACCAAAAGTAGGTGGATCAAATTTAACAAAATAAAGAACCTAGAGGAACTTTCAGGTGTGAAAAGGACTCAAGACTTTACGAAGTTAGCCCTGACAGACAGATGATGACCAGAATAAATATTATGATGCAGCTGAGGCCATGACAGTAAGATTGCAACACTAGGTTTTGTTTCATACTAGCAAAGTATAGCTAGCATGGCGAGGATATGTATTTATCTATAAAGCAGATTTTATCAGTGAAACTGCAGAAATATGCAGAATATTAACATATGACACTAAAACAAAACACGTGAGCCACTTTGTGATCTTGTGATCATTTCAAAATGACCAAGTTCTTGGTCTTCTTCACTGTTAAATCTTATTAAAAAGTAATTCCAAATGACCTCAATGCAGCAGGTTTAGAGGGCAAATACCAACTATCTGCATGCAAACAGAGTTTAGAGTGATTTTTCTTTTCATACCAAGTCTGAACCACATTTATAGTCCATGACAAGAAAATAATCTCTCCCACCAATGCTGCTAATTATTTTAATAAAACTGCACAGCTGGAAAAAGTGAAACATCTTTAATGCAGATTCTTAATGAAATCCATCTGGTTTTAGATTTTTTTTTTTTTTTGAAAACGACACACTCCCAGACTCTGTTAGCAGAGCGCTTTTTTTTTTTAAAAAAAAGAAGCTGGTGTGAAAAGGCCTAAAGGCAGCCAACTAAAAGACATCACCTGATCTCCTGCCTTGACCCGATTACCAGCAGTAATCGGGTCTTTCATATGCATGTAAATGTGATGGTAGACTCTGCGTGTTTAAAAAGGATGGAGCAGCTTAATGAAGTGCTACAGCTGAGACACAGCGAGCTGCATGCAGAGAGCAACAGCAGGCCTCCTGCTGTGAGTGCCAACACAGAGCTGCAATATTAAAGTGCTGAATGGAGCAGCAGCCAAGTGTTTTGGATGGAAAGATACTGACACACATACATGCATATGTTTTTTACTCAGGAGGACATGGCATTGACTTCTGTTAATTTTCTGGAGACCAAATCTGTAACGACCTCAGACACGAAACTGGTGGACTCAAATGCATGACTCGCAGAAGGTTTAACAAAAGTATTTTACTTGGAAAAATCAATTTAAACAAAAGGCGCTCTCAAGGAGGATGTACAAAGTTAAAAACAAAACACTCACAATGAGGATTAAAAAATATCACAACTTAGAATCAAACCTGATAACATGAAAACCTGGCATCACACAGAGTGGTGAGTGTGAATGAGTGGAGTCAGCTGTCAGTCAGTGTTGGAGTAGAAAGGTGGAAGCCGTCCCCGCTTGGCCCAAGTGTGATCAAATATTTTGCTCATGGTATCTTGGAAAACTGAGTGACTGGCAGATGTTAGAGTCTCTGGACCATTCAGCAGTGGCCCAAGCGGCGGCTCTGCCAGTTAAATGGGACACAATAAACGCCACTTTAGCCTGGTCTGACACAAAAGCTGCCAGGTTGTGCCTGAAGTACAGGTCACACTGGACTAAGAAAGTTCTACAGTCACCTGAGTCCCCAGAAAACTTTTCCGGTAAGGCCAAACACAGAGACAATGGAGCAGCATGATTCATGGAAGGTGCAGCAGCAGGAATCACAGCAAGTGGTGTCACTGAAGGTGCAGTCCCTAGGTGAGTGAGGACTTGGTGTAGTTGCACTGCCAGGTGGTTTACTTGGGAGGTGACTGAAGCTTGAAACTGCTCCTGATGCTCTGTGAGGTCCTTCACTCCACGGCTGATTGTGCTCAGCTGTGTCTCGTGCTGATGGATCTTGGAGCCCTGTGCAGAGAGGGCGGTTTGGAGTTTCTTCGGGTCGGCTGAGTCCATACTTGGCCAGTTCGTTCTGTAACGACCTCAGACACGAAACTGGTGGACTCAAATGCACAACTCGCAGTAGGTTTAACAAAAGTATTTTACTTGGCAAAATCAATTTAAACAAAAGGCGCTCTCAAGGAGGATGTACAAAGTTCAAAACAAAACACTGAGGATCAAAAAATATCACAACTTAGAATCAAACCTGATAACATGAAAACCTGGCATCACAAAGACTGAACAAGACGAATTGGCAACAAGACAAAGGGAGACAAGGACTATTTATACATGAGGTAGGGGAACACAGGTGAAATCAATCAGAGGCGGGGTAGACAATCACAATGGCGGGAAAATCACACAAAGGGAGGAAGTCAGGGTCTGAAACGAGAGGGAAAAGGTGAGTACAAAATAAAACAGGAAGTGCACGACGAGACTGGACATGAATGACTTTAACTTAACATAAAGTGCTCATGACAACAAAAGACTAAACATGAAACTAAACTAAGGCATGACATAAAATATGAAACACTAAACATGAACATGAATAAAATTAATATACTTGATGAGACACAACAAAATCTTTAATTTTAATTTTCAATGTTCTTTGCAATAAATACAAATCAAGTCTGTGGGTTTTCACCAAACAAGCTAAATTGCCACAGTACTCTACCTGCTCAGGTACACTGTTCTCTACCTGCTCAGATACACTGGACTCTACCTGCTCAGGTACACTGGACGCTACCTGCTCAGTAGCAGACAGACACAGTCAGAGACCAGCTGCCGAACATAATGGAGCATTTAGCAGCCACAGAGACAGATTTTTCCCTCAGGAGTTGGTGGAGACCAAAAACAGAGCTAACAGAGAGAGAATATTGGACATTCAACAGGTGACACAAACACAAAGACTCCTGATGACTCATGTTGATCTGTAATTGCTGGATACTGAAACAGATGTGGTGTTTGCCCTCTAGTGGCCAAAAAAAAATCATTTAATGTACCTTTAACCTAAAACCAAGTCGCAACCCTAAAGTTTCACTGTGTTTGGTTCAGCTTTTTATCCTTGATTAGGGCAAGTCCCCATAATCTGCCTTGGAACACATTTTTGTCTCCACAACTTGATAATTACGAGTTACCAGCACACGAAACACAAATTACAATCACCAGAGCGGCATCAAATTCTTAAATGTTCCTACAGCACAAGAGAAAATCTTTAGTTTGCTCTCATCTTAAACACTTTGACCTCGCTGAGCGCAGGACCTTGGACATGTCCTTAGGATCAATGTGGCCGAATTTCTGCCTTCACTGAATAGTTTTGATATGAGAGAGAAAAAGAGCGAGTGAGTTCAGCCACATCGATCCCTGATGGATGAGGGTAAAAAAGATAATTGAGGTGAAGAGTGAGGTAGAGGAGGAGGGCAGAGGAGATATAAACAGGAAGTAAAGAGGGAGCGTGAGGAAAGGAAATGTCTGGTTAGAACTTGTCAGGCCAGAGAGTTAGAATTATTTAATTACTCAATATACTGTCAGTGAGCATTTTATGGAGATGTTCAGTATGAACAATGTTGTGTCTGCCAGAATTACCTCCTCAAAGGTGGTCATGTTTCTGATTTAAGATTGTTTGTTTGTTTGCCAGCAGGATTATGAAAAAACTATCAGCCT